CTCGTCTTGAAACAAGAGAAACTCGGAAATCCGAGCATCCTGCGGATATGCCGGAGGATTGTCACCGGATGGGACCTCACAGTTTTGCTGATCACCTTGGGAAGAAGACATCTTAAGAANATCCACTGGGGGTACGTCGCTCGACACGGCGTCTTCCTCAGCATCGCTACGATCCATCTCGTCTTGAAACAAGAGAAACTCGGAAATCCGAGCATCCTGCGGATATGCCGGAGGATTGTCACCGGATGGGACCTCACAGTTTTGCTGATCACCTTGGGAAGAAGACATCTTAAGAATTTTTCTAGAGAGAAGTTGGAGACAAACTTGAAAGGTGGAAGATACGAGAAGTAATGATCCAATACTTATAGAAAAAGGAGAGCTCTCCCTCGTAATAAGACAAATCTCAGCTGTAGATTCCGATTAAAATCTAACTTCATCCGACCGCAAAATTTCCTCAAGAAATTGCGGACTGGGGGGCTAACTGTTGGTGTCAAAAACCGTACTCTCGAAATCAACGTCTGCGATAACTTCTGTAAAAGGGGGATCATTACTTTCCGCAAAAGTAATTTTATAAAACTCAGAGATCGTTTTATAAAAATCGAGAATCGTTTTATAAAACTCGAAGAATCATTTTATAAAACTCAAGAATCATTTTATAAAACTCTAGAATCGTTTTATAAAACTCGAAGAATCGTTTTATAAAACTCGAGAGTCGTTTTATAAAACTCGAGAATCGTTTTATGAAACTCGAAGAATCGTTTTATAAAACTCGAGAATCGTTTTATAAAACTCGAGAATCGTTTTATAAAACTCGAAGAATCATTTTATAAAACTCGAGATTCATTAAATAAAACTCGAAGAATCGTTTTATAAAACTCGAGAATCGTTTTATAAAACTCGAGAATCATTTTATAAAACTTGAGAATCGTTTTATAAAACTCGAGAATCATTTTATAAAACTAGAAGAATCGTTTTATAAAACTCGAGAGTCGTTTTATAAAACTCGAAGAATCATTTTATAAAACTCGAAGAATCGTTTTACGAAACCGCAAAAAACCGAAACAGCCGTAAAACGCGAACTAGTCACGACTAGTTCGCCCATGGGCGAACTAAGCCGTCCCGGCTTATTTCGCTGATGGGCGAACTAGGAGATACTCCACTAGTTCGCCCATCGGCGAACTAAGCCGGCCCGGCTTAGTTCGCCGATGGGCGAACTAGGAGTCACTCAACTAGTTCGCCCATCGGCGAACTAAGAGTCACTCAACTAGTTCGCCCATCAGCGAACTAAGAGTCACTCAACTAGTTCGCCCATCGGCGAACTAAGCCGGCCCGGCTTAGTTCGCCGATGGGCAAACTAAAAGACACTCAACTAGTTCGCCCATCGGCGAACTAAGTCGGCCCGGCTTAGTTCGCCGATGGGCGAACTAAAGACTTCCCGGATATCCGGCGCCTCGATCTCCCGCATTCCCGATTCAAAACTTATGTCTTTCGACAAGGTCATGTTCTAAACCATGGCCGAAACATCTCCCGTTCCATCTCGATCCGACCTACCGTTCGAGTTTTACGATAAAAACCGTAAAAATTCGCTTCCTCGGAAAGTACTCGAGGAAATCGTATAAAACGGCAACGGTTAGACGAAACACCGAACATTGCCTAAACTATACGATTTATTCGAGATTTCTCGTTGAAGTCATAAAAACACGTTTTTAATAAAAAACGCCGAGTAAGTCGTAAAAAACGTGTTTTTAATAAAAGTCGAGTAAATCGTAAAACCTTGCGATTAAATCGAGGAATTTATTAAAAACGATGTCAGATCAGGAAACGATCCCGTAAAAAGTCGGAAAACGGATTTATCGCAAATCGGCCCGGAAGGGCCTAAAACGCGATAAAAACCCATCTTGCGATCTTAACGGAATCTAACCCGCAGATTCGATAACGTTTTGACGGTTTACTCGCAGAAGGAAAATAAATGTTAAGCTCGAAGGTAAAAGGCAAGTTTGAAGAAAAATAGAAGATTTCCGCGGAAGAAAAGGAAGGATCGAGAAAAATGGAAGATTCCTGAAATACTCAAAACCGGCAAAATGGAAAGATCGAACCGTCAAGACAAGGAGTATATAAACCAGAGGCGTAAGGCAGAAGAAGGGGACGAAAATCAGACCTAAAAAGACGGCTGCTAGCTTAGAATTTAGGACTTAGCGTTTTGAATAGCAATCTAGATCCTTAGAACGTTTCGACGTCTAAGTTCTTCAATTCTTTTTGTAACAGTTGTCAATTCTTCATTCAATAAAAGCTTTCATACAAGTTCTTATCTCTTTATTCTTTATTGTTCATCCATATTCTTTTAAATTCGTTTGTTTTAGTGATTTCCGCAGAGATCCAGGACCTCGGGAAAATTAGGGTTTCACCTTAAGTTTCCATATTTGACGGAAAATCGACAGTGTGGATTTCGGTTCCCACATGCACACCTCGTGACATCGATCAATGGGCGTAAAACACATAGACACGATTTTGGTTCAGACGGTTTGAAGCGTAAGTCTTCACAAAAGTGCAATATTACCCATGAAAAGTTTTAAGCTAAGTATTTTTAGCTTTGTCATGTGTTGCCGGCAAATTGTGCTTTTTCGTATTCTTGTTTTCAATACCTGAAATATTTAGAGAGAGTTGGAGAGAAGATTCAAGAGTTATACAAGCTTGTGATCAGAACTCCATTGTTATATCTATGCAGTTTTCTTATCTATTTGTTATTATGAATTGCTTTGCTATGTCTGAGTAGTTCTACTGGTAGATTTATGGTTTAAATAGGTTATGAGGGATTAGTCCTAAATATAGAATTGGTAAGTTGTCGTATTCAACAATAAGATTGATCTTAGTACTTGTGTTATAGAGTAGCTAATTAGAACCCTGATGTTAGAATGATTAGATACAATGCGACTGCTTGGTCTGTCATCTGAACTAGTCTTGATTCAACTACGATTGCTAGAGAAAGGCGACAGCTGATCTAGGAGCTTAGTGAGTAGTTAATCAACTCGCATATAAAGATTGGCTAGAAGCCGATCACTCAATATTCATAACAAATATTCTATTGACGCATTGATCAACATACGACAGCTATGACAGTAAATCTAGTCAATAAATGGTCCAAAACGCGACACACTGATGGACTGTATTTTAGTTGAGCTCTAGTATATCCTCCAACTTAGCACCTATATCTCTATAATCCTGATGACCTGAATAGAAACCCTAAGTCTAGCTACTTTCTAATATCGTTACAAACCCACTTCAAACCAACCGAACAACTACCTTGTTCAACACTGCCTTTTAGTTTAAACACTTTCGACCTAGCTTAATCATCTGATTAGATCAATTGCGTACCCTAGGTCCTTGTAGATTCGAACCCTAAGTACTAAACTGAACCTGTTACTTCAGTGAGTAATTCACTCCTTAGGGTAATTCGTGTGATTATCATGAATTGGTTGGCATATGGCGACCGAGTCTCATGTTGGACCGGTCGGCATATGGCAACTGAGTCCGTGTTGGACTGGCCGCCAAATGGCTGCCGGGCTTTGTATAAAACCGGTCGCCATATGGTGACCGGGCTTCGTACCGAATCGGTCGCCATAAGGCGACTGAGTCCTATGTCAGATCGTATCGAACCGGTAGCCGTATGGTGATCGAGTCTCGTGTCAGAATGGCAACTGAGTCCCGTGTCAGACCAGTCTCCATATGGCGACCGAGTCGCGTCTCAGACCGGCTGCCATATGGCAACCAGGCTTCATACCGAACTGGTTACCATATGGCAACCGAGTCCCATGTCCGACCGATCGCCATATGGCGACCGGGCTTTGTATCAAACCAGTCACCATATGGGGACTGAGTCTCGTGTTGGACCGTCGCCGCTGCCATATGATGACTGAGTCCCACACCCATACCGAACCTGTCGCCATATGGCGACCGAGTCTCGTACCGGACCGGTCGCCATATGGCAACCTTGTTTAGTAGAGCTTGGTTTGATGTGTTTCCGAAAGGTTTTTCAAGAGGATTTTCCCAGGGTAGGAATCCTAGTTGTTGATTATCTAGATAACTGTTATCCCCCCAGTTTGCAAGTCTCGGAGACGACCCTTTCAAGCGATTTATGCGTTTTGTTTTCAAATTGGACTCTTTGGTTGGGTTTCTGTTTCCTTATCTCTCAAAAATTTTATTTTAAGATTAATTTATTGCGGAAAGCCACTTTGGCATTATATTTCTATAAGTAATGAACTTTCATTCCTCATTCTCTTTACACCTCTCCAACTCTCTAAACTCTCTCTGCCTTCTCTATTTTAGTCTAAGTAATATAGATTAAAATTATATCATATAACAATTACAACTTTATTTTCTTAAAATAATATTACCAAACCAAGCACGATAAATTTGGTACAAAATATTAGAGAAGTTTATTAATTACAAATGATTAACTTAACTAATATAAAATATAATTTATAGATGACAATATTTTTTAATAATATATTAATTATGTCAAACAAGTCACAAAGTAATGTTTTATAGTTTCATGATATAAATATCAAATTATAAATAATATATATATAATAATTTCATATTAATTATTTATACACAATGATGAAAAATACAAGCATGGATGTGCCTGTAAAACTCTATTATATTTTAATTTGTAATTCCAAAATAGTATATTGGACCCTGATACTCTTTCCTAAGTACATGATTTAACATTAAAATTTTCAGATATGTTTGGTGTATTAATTAAGATATTTACTGATAATAAATGAGGATATTGACCTTTCACAAAAGAAAAGAAAGAAATTATTAAGCAATGAAATATATTTTCTTTTCAAAGTGAAAGAAATAACATATTATTGATGGTTAGAGAACCCTTATTTTCTTACAGTTATAAATATTCTCCATAATCACATCATTTAGTCATTCAAAAGAAAAAAAAAAATACTTTTGACCCTCAAAAAAGTGAGATTAACTATCACAAAAACATGGAGAAAACAACTTTGATATTCATTGGTATTCTACTTTTTTCAACATGTGAGTTTAAATAAAATTGTATTTTTCTATTGTAATTAATTATTCTTGGACCTCATCAGCAATCAGCATGATACATTATTTAATATATATATATATACATAACAAATATACATGATTTCGTACAGGTACACCAATTCTGGCACAAACTTGTAAGAATAACTATGACTGTTTTAAAATGTTATGTCCATTAAGAGGATACCCCATTTGTGTGAAGGGTCATTGTGAATGCCCTCCTCACACGTATAGAGCATTACCTGATGATACCAACTGTGGTGTGAGTAAATGCATTGACTATTGCAAAGCAAAAGGAGAAGTAGCTTCTGCTTGTATTTTGAACCATTGTTTTTGTCGCAAACCTCCTATGTAGATTTTACAAAAAAAAATACATTCTACTAATAAAATAGTAATAATAATAATAATAAAGTTCGTCAAAATATCTAAGATTTATATATTAAATTAAATTATAATAAGTTAATTAGTTTCATGCATAGTTTTAAGTTTTAAGCAAAATAGAAATACAACTAAATCAAATTTATTTTCGAAAATGAATAAAAAATGAAGAGAAAAAAGCATTTTTATTTAAAAAGTTATCACTATAATTAAGTTGATATTAAATTAATTAAGGTTTCAATAAAATTTTGATCAAATATATCTGGATACTAAATCTATTCAACAAGACAATTATAAAAAATCTTAATTTTGAAATTTAGACATACATATTATTTTATGATCTAAGCAAATATGATTATTCAAACTTTGAAAAGCAACATATCTCACATTGATTCTCATCTTCTTCTCAAGAGATCAGTTTTGGAACAACTTGGCCGAAACAAAAACCTTCATATCTCTTTAAAGACATCACAAAAGTATGCATACAATATATCAATAGAAAGATAATTTTAATATCTACATACATTCCAAGAATATCACACAGGTGCAATATATCATCAGAAAGATATGATTAAAACAGTATTTTCAGTTTACTTATTAGTTTATTAAAAGTAAACCAGCGAAATAAGCATAATAAAATTTTGTACTAATATAAATATAAACTATAATATAATCATGTAAAACAGGTTACAAAAATAAATAGTGTTTTAAAGTTTAATGATATAAAATATCAAGTTATAAATAATACATTTAATAACTTCTTATATTAACTAATTATACAAAATTATATGAAATACAACTATGCAAGCATGATGTGCGGATAAAACTCTTATCATATTTTTAAAAAATCATTAAAAATTATTACATTGGACACAGATAATCATTCTTAAGTACATGATTTAACATATAAATTATCATATACGATTGATGTATTAGTTATAATATTAGCTAATAATACATGAGAATATTGACCTTTCACAAAAGAAAAGAAAGAAATTATTGACCTATAATACAAAATTATAGAACATATTGTTTTAAAAGTGAAAGAAATAACATATTAGGTATTCATGGTTAGAAAACTCTTATTTTCTAGTAGTTATAAATAGTTTCTGTAAGTACATCATTCAGTCATTCAAAAAGAAAAAAGACTAACTAGCACAACAACAAAAAATGGAGAAAACAGTTTTGATATTCGTTGGTATTCTACTTCTTTCAACGTGTGAGTAAATAAAATTGTATTTTTCTATTTTAATTAATTATTCATCTATCTCATCAGCATGTTACATTATTATTATTATAAATATTATACATAAAATTTCAATAGTAATGATTTCGTACAGGTACACCGATTCTGACACGTACTTGTACGAACAACTCCGATTGTGCTTCAGTCACATGTTCATTCTGACAACCCGTTTGTTGGAATGGTATTTGTGAATGCCTGACAAGTATATGGCATCCCCTGATGCTACCAACTGTGGTGTTGCTAAATGCATTGAGTATTGCAAAGCAAAATGAGAAGTGGCTTATGCTTGTATTTTGAATCAATGTTATTGTCACAAACCTCCTCTGCAGATATTACAAAGAATTTACATTCTACTAATATAATAATAATAATAATAATAATAACAAAAATAATAATAATAAGAATAATAATAATAATAAAATAATAATAATAATAATAATAATAATAATAATAATAATAATAATAATAATAATAATAATAATAATAATAATAATAATAATAATAATAATAATTGTGGGAGTCGATTTCACCCTACTGTCAAATAAATCGTAAATAAGGAAACTTCGGGAAAAACCCTAGTTTCCAGAGGAACCGGCTATCTGCGAGAACCGCACAACAAAGATTAAGATGACTAAAACACTTAGAATAAAAACGAAAATAGGAGAGGTTTGAAAGTAAGAAGGTTCTTATTCCGAATCTGCGTTGAACTGGTTACAAAAAGAGTAGCCGTGAACGTAAGAACTTAGAAAACCCTAATTGAGACGCAGCTCGCTAACAGAAAAACGGAAAGATTCCTAAAATGCTAATTTTGGTGGTGAGAGCTCTGAATTTCGTGTCTATGCTTCTGCCCTAGACCTCCT